GTTTTTTTAAGTTATATTTTGTAAATACATTGCTGGTAAAGACAAATATACTAATATTATATATTAAAACATTTTCTAAGTGGGGATGTAGCTCAGTGGCAGAGTGCTCAGCACCACACTGATCCCCACACCACAAAAATAAAAATAAAACTTCCTCAGCCCAAAAGTTCTTTTTTTTTCCTGTTTGAATTTAAAAGAAGTTAAAATATTTTCATGTGTTCTTAAAGGGACTGTGAGCCCTAGGCACTATGTGTACTGTAACTCGAAGAGACACTGTTCATTCTTGATTAATAAAGACCTGCATGGAATTATTCTTTGATTTAACTATTGGGAAAATGAGGGTAAAGTTTAATGATTTGATTAAGGCAATGGGGTTCAGGGGACTACCCTAGAGTTGGGAGTGGGGCCTATCCCACCCTGATGGAATTTCTACAATGGGAGAGGAAATGGTAATGATGCCAGAGAAATAATCAAACTATGCACTGCAGATGTGAGCAATTTATAGAAGAAGAAAAGGAAAAACAAATCATCAATTAGCATATGAAAAGATGCTGGCTAATAATTGAGGATATGCAAAATAAGACAATGAGATATTTTTTCACCCATCAAATTGGCAAAAGTTTGATAATACCCAGATCTGATGATGTATAGAGAAAAGTGTGCTCCAATATATTGCTAATAGGGCTCTAAATTGGTATGCCCTTTTTGGAGGACAAATTGGTAGTAGTTATCAAAATCTAAAAAAGCATTCCTTCATCCTAGCAACCCAATCTCTAAATATCTAAATAACTAAAAGGGAAACAGGATCATTGTACAAAAAAGCAAATCCAAGGCTTTCCACTACAACACTATTCATGATAGTAAGTTTTTGTGAGACGTCTTATAACTTATTAATAACAATATGGTTCCATAGTGGGGTGGGGGGAGGAAAGGGAAGAATGGAGGAATTTGGTTTGTGCAGAGGGGAGTGAGGGGAGGGGTGAGGCTGTGGGGGTGGGAAGGATGGTAGGATGAGACAGACATTATTACCCTATATGCATGTATGATTACACTACTGGTGTGACTCTGCACCATGTGCAGCCAGAAGAATGAGAAGTTGTGCTCCATTTGTGTACAATGGGTCAAAATGCATTCTCCTGTCATGTGTAACTAATTAGAACAAATAAAAAATTAAAGTATAAACATTAAATAGCAGTATGGTTAAATAAACCATATTAAGTACATAACAAGGAATATGAATCAACATCTATGTTAAAAACCAGTAGGTCAATTTGTACTGACAGGAAAAAAACTTTTATTTATTTATTTTTACAGTGTTATTTTATTTATTTATTTTACAGTGTTAGGGATCCAACCCAGCAACTCGTGCATGTTGGCTTTACCAAGAATTTTCTTTTTTGGGGGGGTGGGGGAGGTTACTGGGGATTGAACTCAGGGGCACTCGACCACTGAGCCACGTCCCCAACCCTAAATTGTATTTTATTTAGAGATAGGATCTCACAGAGTTGCTTAGCATCTTGCCTTTGCTGAGAATGGCTTTGAACTTGCAATCCTCCTGCCTCAGCCACCTGAGCCACTGGGATTATAAGCATGTGTCACTGCGCTGGCTTCTACCAAAAATTCTATCACACATACTGTGAGAAACAGAGTAGCAACACTGGAGAGAACACACTAGCTACCCCTCAGCAAGGCAAATTCCAAGAGGGCATTTTTAATTCTTCTTTGTGCTGGTCACTGGACATGTTAATCATTACCTATCAGGATTTGTTTCCTTCATTATTATTGGTGAACAATTTTTATTAATTTCCCCATCTAGGGGTTTCATCATTCTACTTTGTGAATTTACAAAGAACTACATCTATGAACCATTAAGGGTTTGATGGAGAGTATGATATGGAGATGAAATAACCAGATTTTTTTTTTTTTTAGAATTTTTAATGTTTTATTGTTTAGTTCTCGGCGGACACAACATCTTTGTTGGTATGTGGTGCTGAGGATCGAACCCGGGCCGCACGCATGTCAGGCGAGCACGCTACCGCTTGAGCCACATCCCCAGCCCCAAAATAACCAGATCTTAACAATAAATTACAGAGAAATCTATATGTTGAGTAAAAGCATTCTCAGACCTGTTTTTGTTTAGGTTCTGATTAAAAGAGAGGTCATTGTGTAAAAGGTCTGATAATCAATTTAATAGTGTTGTTTGTGACTAAAATATGTAGAAGTAAAATTTAAATGTGGACTTAATATCATGGGAAAGTAGAATTTAAATCTGGACTTTAAATCATAGACACTCTTGTTTTGTTCCACCTGTCACCTTTCTACCTATCCTTATGTCTTCTATCCTACCTCAAGTTGATTTCTTCTGAGGTTTTTATCCTTGGCTTGCAGATGGCTATCATCTTCTTGTGTGATCGTTTGGTCTTCTTTCTGTGTGCATCTCTGGTGTAGTTTCCTTTTATTATAAGAGTCCTATATTGGCTGGGCATGGTGGTGCACACCTGTAATCCCAGAGGCCTGGGAGGCTGAGGCAGGAGGATCACAAATTCAAGGCAAGTCCTAGCAACTTAGCAAGGCCCTAAGCAACTTAGTGAGACTCTCAAAAATAAATAAATAAATAAATAAATAAATAAAATAAAAAGTGTTGGGAGTTAAGTTAAGCACCCCTGGGTTCAATCCTAGAAGGAAAAAAAAAAAAAAAAGAATGGTATGGAATCAGCCTTTCAAGGTGTACAAAAGAAACCAGCTTAATGACCTTTTGAAGTTATAATATTAAAATCCTACATGTAGAACATGGTAACTCTCCCCAAAAAGAAACACACAATTTATGAAGAGGCATAATAACAAGTTATACCTTTACAAAAGAATCTTAAAACTCCCCCTTCTCTCCATCCAATCAATAGGCAACATTTCCACTCTCCCTTCCTATAAATTCCCCCTCTACCAACTGATCAAGGAGGCAGATTTGAGCTTTACTGGATCCTGGCCTTCTTGGATGTTGATTGTTCAATAAAACTTTTTCTTTTTGCAAAAACTGCTGTCTGACCCACATAGGCTGGCTTCTATATGGGCCAGACAGCAGCACTTGTTTGACATCAATATGAAAACAACAGATATATTTCACATATCTTACATAAATATAATACATCTATATATATACAATACAAATATTGTACTTGAGGCATAATTGTGCATATAAAAAATCTCAGAACTGAGCATGGTAACAAATGCCTATGATTCCAACTACTTGGAGGCTGAGGCCAGAGGATCACTTGAGCCAAGTTAGAGACCAGCAACCTAATATGGTAGTTTCTTCTGGGGGAGGGAAGTGAGATTGAGGCTGATGGGGATTTCTATGTTATTTGAAAAGTTTTTACATCAGGGGCTGGGGATGTGGCTCAAGCAGCAGTGCGCTCGCCTGGCATGC